TCTGTGTGTGCGTGTGTGTGTGTGTGTGTGTGTGTGTGTGTGTGTGTGTGTCTTTCCTCACCTCTCTCTTTCTGTCTTTCCTCACCTCTCTCTTTCTGTCTTTCCTCACCTCTCTCTTTCTGTCTTTCCTCACCTCTCTTTCTACCTCCGCCCCCTTTTGTAATCGTGTTCCCTCTCTTTTGAACACACACAATCGAACATTGTTTGTCTGGGTCCGAGGTCTACTATTACCCCAACAGACCTAAGAGCATTCTGAAACAATCTCAACTTCCTGGGAAGCATACAGTGCAAGCAGCCATTTATAGCCGCTAAAACACTAACATACTGACAAGATCTTTCGCTGTCTATGGCCGGGTACCTATTTCCACTAGGGAGAAGTGAGAAAAATTCCTGTAAAGTGCCTTTCCCAAGGACACAACGTCGGGCCCGCGACTCGAACCCCCGAACCCGCAACCTCACGATTACGAGTCCAGTAGCCTAACCGCCGACGCCATAAAAATACTGTATTATACATGAATGACCAGGCTCATACCCCAAACTGTTTTCAAGTAATCCTTCCCACCTGCCTGCCAACCTACTCCCTATACCTAGCTCTCTCAGTCTCAGATTCATCTGTTTTTATTCATTACCAGCCTGCCTACCGTACATGCTTTTATGCCTGCCTGCCCTTCTGTCTGCTTCCTACTTAGCTACTTACCTAGCTAGTTAGCTACCTAAATACATTTTGTACATACGTACCTACTTACCCACCGCCCCTACTCATAATTTTAATTATGCATCTACTTATTCATTATCTACCTACAAATCTACCGACCTTCATACTGGTGGTACCTACCTGGGTGCCTGTCTGCTAGTACTAACGCCGAAGTGCAACTCTTGTCAAGGTGCGCAATGTTGTATGTACTTTTCCCCATTAATTGCAACCTACAATGTACATGTACTATCTTTCGCATTGCAGGTACATGTACCTCCTTGCATCTGGCTGGCCTAACTTGGTAGGTAACACCAGGGTCACCACATCAGGAAACTTCCCGCAAATTTCAAAATAATTAAGTAACGAAAAAATAAAAGTACCCGGACACGGTACATGTACCGGTACCACTTTCTGGACAGGTTAAGTCCCTATTATATTATAAGGTTTGTCTTCCTTGCGACTCAGTAGAGCAGAATAAGATAACAGGCTGGATTTATCTGCATATTGTAAACGTTTTATGTTCCCACAAACGCACGTTGTAAATCTTTTATTTATTTTTTAAAAATATTTTTTTTAGGGGAGGGGGGTTCAACCGTACTCAAAAGGACCGATCCAGACAACCCGAACTGGATTTTGTAATTACAACACCCCAGGAGGAAAGCAGGAAGACGAAAGTGTCCGATTAAAAACAACAACAACAACAACAACAACAACAACAACAAAAACCCCTTTCCCATTCTGGAGTTGAACTCACATTTTGCGCAAATAGCCTAACCGCTTCTCCATTGTAGAAGAAGATAAGATCGACTCTAATTTAATTGATGCGATGGAGTCCGCACCAGTATCTGCGCCGGAACGCCGGATTTTGTTCGTCCTAGCCGGGTTTTCGGGTTAGAAAGATTGCTCTTGTAAAAATACACACATGTTAAACATAAAAAAGGAAGGCGGGGGACATTGACTTTAAAATTTTCTTTCGGTTTATCACTGTTTTCGTACATCCTTGTTCAGTTTAAGCGGACTCCATTGTGTACAAATCATTGATGTAGCTCTTTGTCCGTCAATAAAGACCCATTCAGTCATCTCGGGGTCGAGGATGAAGAAAGCACAGATGGCATATCAGACTGATTTGCGCCCATAGAGCAATGCCACAGTAAGGAAGACAATGGTGGTAGTGGTAGTAGTTTGATATATATAT